GACGCTTGCGGATCTTGAGGAGCAGTAGCGGAAGTGTTCGAATTTCGATTATTGTTCGTTGTTGCTGCTACAGCGTGTGATGACCTTCCAGCGTTCGATGTGTTGGTGCACAATTGAGTGTGATGACGGGATCGGCACTTTCTGCAACAATTCTCCGACGGACAGTCACGTGCCATGTGACCTTTTCGAAAACAGTTACGACACAGCTGATGTCGCATGATAAGTTTCTCCTTCTCCTCAACCGGCATGCGACTAAAGATGTTGCACTGGTAGATTGGATGTTCTTCCGGGCAGAAGAAGCACTTTCGTCGATTCTCCTGGAAGGCTCCATGACTACCAACACGAGGATTCGGTGGTTTTCGAAGTGGCTGAGATAGTTGAGGATCAGTTTGCTTGGAAGACACTTGCAGTAGAACGTTCACTCTTCGTTGGATGAAGTCGGTGAGATCCTTGAAGGCAACGGCGTCACGAGTAGCAGAAAATTCTTCCCAATCACGTCGAGTCACAGGATCGAGACGGCTCGTGAGAAAATGTATCAACAGTATATCCCAATGTTCGGTGCTCTCTCCAAGCTGCTTCAGCACTCTAACGTTCGCTTCAAACTTCTCGACCAATGAATGCAGCTCAGCAGAGGACTCTCGACGTATGACCGGAAATCGAACAATGTCTGAACATAATTGCGCTTTAGAACCTTCGGGTTTTGAAAATGCTCGATCAGTAAATTCCATGCAACGGGATAATTAATGCCACTAATCGGAATAGTTTGGATCAACTTAAGTGCCTCCCCAGCTAGTGACGACCGAAGGTAATAAAATTTTTGAATGCTGGAAAGTTCCGACGAAGAGTGGACAAGCGATGCGAACAAGTCATGAAAGTTAAGCCAGCTCTCATAGTTGCCAGTAAACACCGGTAGCTTAACGTCGGGCAGCTTTACATGATTCGAACTATAGCTCTGAGTGTGGGGGGCGGAAGTGGGCGTAGTCATAGCAGGGATATGGCAGTGTTGCAGAAGAAAACCCTTAACTTTGTAGAAGTGTGTTTCAAATTCGGCTCTTTATTTGAGGTATTGTTCTACAGCATCAGAGGACTCGTCACAAGTCTCAAAATCTAATTGTACCTTATTAAACTCCATCCATAGCGACACGACCGCTTCCAAGCGTACGGGTACCTCGGCTCTGTCTCTCTCCTCCTGGTAAGATCCGACGAAATTCTTGATGAGTGAGAAAGATGTTAGGATGCTGCGACGTCTCGTCTTCAGGAGTCGTAGTTTCCTTTCAGCGGCGGACATGTTGGTTGGGTGACGAATCCAAATCTATAATTGAGACCAGGTAGCCCGGACAAGAAGAAAATAAAAGAATGGGGCGGTAATTACCTTCTAGAAAGCAATTATTTGCCTTGTATTTATTGAAACGCTCCTTCTCTCGAACTACTCTGCGTTGTTGAATGAAGCCAGGACCATCAAGGATGGTGACGTCACAGGGTTAGAACAGAGCAGGAAAACACAGAAATAGCTGCTAAATCTCACCAAAATGGTAGCGTGAAGTATGGCTTCTCGATGCCAATGGTGCTAGTGTTCCAAAGGGCAATGGCTACTTGCTTGCACAACAATAGGTCACTGCGATCCATTAAGGACTTCAATCTCGACGAATCACTCCGGGGATGCCGGCCGGAGGTTCACACAGCCGTAGTTGTGGATCAGAGGAAGATCTCGTCGACGATATGAACATGCAAGCAACGGAAAGACCCGGTAGATATGCGATGAGAACGTAAAGTGATTGGAATACTATTAAATCTAATTTCAGATGCCTTCAAAAATATGATCCCACAAAAAACAGTAATTTCCCCATCACGATGAAACAAATTAACGACATCTTATCGAAAACAGATGCCACTGAATTACTGCAGTTCTTCAATAAAACACCTCCCACAATATCGATTGCCATTGCCACCTCACCTCACGCCTCATCCGGAACAGCGCCAATAAAACCACTCACCCAGGAAAAGACCTTAATCGGCCGAAGAAAAACACAAAACTTCCCCGTCCATTTCCATTCGCCGCAGCCACCCGCATCGATTTCCTATTTGGCTGGTTACTGGATTACTTTGGCCGCACCTCGCTGTGGTGGTCGTCGTCGTTGCATCGACACCAACCAGCGACCCAGATTCCACAGCGAAACAACAACTTAGCTATCTATAGAGTGCACTTACTGGAGGCGGAAACCCGAAAAAGGAAGCATTTTGACTAAGAATAACAGCAAAATTGCAACCGTAAAACAGAAAACAAAAAAATTTTGCCCGATTATATACAATATATTTACTGTGGCTGGTGGGTGCCTGGGGTAGGTATGGGATGGGCTTCCGGAAATGGCCGCAAAAGCTCGATTGTTCGATTCGGACTGTGCATGGACCATCGGGGCGCGTCGGAGCATTGTGGATGACTGTACTGGAACAACAGCCAGTAGATTGATTTTGGCCTTGGTTTGCCTATTAGGTCGAGAGATCCGAATGGACGTCAAACGACGCGCAAACTTTCAGCACGACTCACATCGCTCAAAGTGAGTGACAAATAGTCATCTTCTTCGGGCTGTTATTCCTCGTTCCACGCCTTTGGGGGCTTCGCAGGGGGTGGATCAAGTCGTCGTCGTCGTCGTCGTTGCTGTCGACGACGACCGAGTGACAAGCGGTCACGGTTGGACGGAGATGGCGGAAAATTTCGATTTCCACTTGCTTGAGTTCTGGTGTTCTCAAGCAACAACGAGAACGCTCAAAGGAGCCTTCGGGCTGATTTTCGGAGCAAGCAGAAAATCAATGCTGGAGCGTTGTGTTTGCTTAACCGAGAGCCATTATCATTTCAAACAAGAAGATTACATTTGGCCGATTCCGTGTAATACACTAATCACGGTCGCTTCAGCTTTATCTCCGATGAATACAGTAATAATGATGGGGAAGGTTTGATCAGCTCGAATCGTTCATCGAGTGTGATTGTTTGCTGTATACTTACACTCATACACTTGGTTCGGAATTGTTCTGTTTATTATGCAGGATAAGTGGGTTGAAAATGGAAATTAGCTTAGCTTTATTACTATTAGCTGTGATAAGCCGTCACTGACGTTGCACAATCAACTACACATCTTTGGCAAATACAGGCAGAAGCCCATACAATACAGATGTGTAAACTTCGGTTGTTTTCGGTACACAACAAAATCCCATTTACCACTCCGATCGAACCTGTCAAGTTCGCTGCCAATTACACAGATAATCGATCTCTATTTTTAAATTGCATCTGAAAAAATAGTATCGACAACTTAGTCAACGACCGAGAAAACGAACGAATGTTGCTCAAATGTATCGTTCGTTGTCGTGGAGGTCGGTGGCGGTGGATAGGTAGGTACATCTTCTTTTTTGACTTTATTACGTCCTCACTGGGACTTTATGCCGGTTCTCAACAAAATATTTTTTGAACACTTGCATATTTGTTAATTGAGTGCTTTCTAAGCCTGTTTCATGTTTGCATTAGTAAATATTGTGTGGCAAGTACAATCTCACTCTATGCTCAGGGAAGTCGAGAAATTTATCTACCCGGAATCGAACCCAGCCACCTCCAGCATGGTCTTGCTTTATAACTGCGCCTATACCGACTGAGCTTGGGGAGGCACATGAACTGATTAAAAATACATTTTAGAGTTCACTCAATCGGCACTTTTGGAACGCACCGCACGTTTTGCAGCACAAGTGCCAAAGCACCGAACACGACTCTCTTGCACCATACGAAAACGAGATACATAGGCAGTAAACAATGCCATCAATCGTACCGTAAACCAGGGGAAAATTGATCACCCAGATGAACTTGGTGGCTGAAAATAAGTTCGTTATTTATTCGTTACTTATGTGATAATAAGGTAACTGTAACAACTATTGGAACATGTCATAAAAATCAATCAAAAATCCTTTATAAGAATTATAATTCCTGCAACCTAATCTTACGCAAATAGTTCAACAAATCATTCCAATAAGGTTTTATTACCTGTGCAGCAGTACTGGTTAAAAAAAATATTGAATTGATAATAAACTACAAGCAAAGAAAATTTTTACATCTTAACGAAATTCGTGATCAATTTGCCCCCGGTAAACGGTACCTACTATGTATAGCATGCAGAAAAAGCTTTTGGGATGATCGCCAAAAATAGTTCTGTCACGCGTCCTACCTCGCACGCATAGAATCAAACAGATTGGATCTGGGGTATGATGTTGATGATGCTGCTTTTCGATCAAGGAACAATCGCCGGGAAGTAAAGAGAGGAGAGGAATTCAATGTCGGTATGTGATGCGGGTTAACCTAGTGAATTCGAGCGCGTGCAAGTGCGTCTCTTAACAATTATGCGGGGCATTTAAATTTAGGATGGAGTGTGTACACTTGCTTGGTTGGACCGAAATGAGAAGCAAGTTTCTGTCAGCCTACCAGAAGGCATGTAAATCAATGTTGTTAAACGCCTTGACAGGAGCTTTACCGACAAGGGGCCTTCTAAAAATACGCTTCAGCTAAAAAGGTTAGTTATTTGTGTTTTCTCCTATCGGCTTTGCAAAATTTCATCCAAATCGAAGAGACTCATGTTTGTCCTTTTACTTATTTGGCCAAAGGCGTAGCCAGTTGACCCTCAGTTGCCAACGCGATCGGTTTCGGTAAATAATGGAAAACGGACCCTCATAAGATTATAGCCCAAAACTGCAAACTCTCCATACATTCTGATGAATGTGGGCGTCTTAGTGGAAAGCCAGTGTAAAGAGAGAGAGAGAGAGAGAGAGAAGGATGTGTAATTTCCATTTGATTCCACTACCTTATTTGCTTATCCTTGACAGATACGCGTATTTCGTCTACAATGTGCAGACCTCTTCAGTACATTATTAGTACAAGACACTGAAGAGGTCTGCACATTGTAAACGAAATACGCGTATCTGTCAAGGATAAGTTCGTATTTGGATTGCATTTCGAGTGGAAGTGGTGGGAGAGTAGTGTTGCGCCTGCAATAATTCGATTTTCCGAAGAGATTTTTACAAAAGTGAAAAGAAGTCATTCGCGAATTTCCCGGGACCGTTCGAATCATTTCTAACAAGTGTGCATCATGTCTACCGAAAAGGAAAACATTTTTGTCTTTGTGCCTAATCTGATTGGGTATGGCCGGATTGTGCTGGCGCTAGTTTCGTTCTACTACATGCCCAACAACTACGTGATCGCCGGGTGGTGCTACATCGTAAGCGTCGTGCTGGATGCCCTCGATGGGCACGCAGCGAGACGCTTCAATCAATCTACAAAGTTTGGAGCCATGCTCGATCAGCTGACTGATCGCTGCGGAACGATGGGACTTCTGGTGATGCTAAGTTTCTTCTACCCGCAGTACATGTTCTGGTTCCAGTTGTCGATGGCTATCGATGTCGCTTGCCATTGGTTCTACCTGCATACGACTGTCCTGCAGGGTAAAACGTCGCACAAATTTATTGACATGTCTGGTAATCCGATCATGCGCGTCTACTACACCAACCGGACCGTGCTGGGCTTTATGTGCTTGTTCAACGAACTGTTCTATGCTGCCCTGTACCTGTTGCACTTCACTCCGGGACCGATGATCCTCGGCATGTCGTCGTTCAAGATGTTGGCCATCTTCTCGGCACCGGTGGCCATCGTCAAGACGATCATTTCGGTTATCCATGGGTACGTTGCCAGCATGAACATTGGCGTGATTGACGTGGCCGAACGCGAGGCCCAACGGGAACGGGAAGCTGCCAAAAAGCCACAATAAGCTGTGCCCGTTCGATCCCGGTGTGCCTGTCCAGTGGACTTGGTTTGTATTATGGCTACACGTTCCTTCCCGTTTCCTTGCGTCTTCTTGCCGGGTGTAGAGAAGGGGAAGTCAGATTTCTTCATGAGTGTCAATCCATCGCGCGTAACTGAACAATCCAACAGCATTCGTTCGTAGTTTTAAGTGGGATTGGTCGTGATCACGGACGTCTCTCCCGGACGGATCACAGATGCACGCGAAAGTCGAGAGATATTCAGATTGATCATGATTGTTAAAACAGGTACATTAGTTTTTAGGTTAACTGTTAAACAGAATGATACCAAAATGAAAGCTTAAATTATATGACAATGGAACTTAAATTCGAAACAACGCAAACTAAAAGTCTCGCCATAACGGTGTCAAATATTTCGTTTTTATTACTTTTTTAAGAATCTGACGGGGTGAATTGACGAACGACAGGAAAAGCTAATCGTATTTTATATTAAAAAAGAGGTGTACCGTAGCAAGAGAAATAATGCAATCAGCTTTATCATTCCACACGTAGAAGGAAACCACCTCTCTGGTGAACTACGAAAGTAAAAATATCCCGTGCAATTAATCCTTTACTGTAGTAATAGTATATGGTTGTTTACTAACTAAGCGACTAACCCACAAACACACACATACAACTATATATTTAGAAAGAAGCAGAGATTCGACAGATCTATCTATTTGTCGACATATACATAAACGAGAATATCAGTGTACCAGCCTGATCCAGCTGTATGTGCTCATGTCTGTTGGAATATATATCTTAAACAAGATCAAATTAGTAAATTTCCCGAGCAAATCGATGTTACACTTAAATTATTTTCCTTTGTGTTTAGAAAAGTGTCTGTTTAGTAATAAAAAAAAATAAGGGAGTGGAATTAAATGGAAATTACAAATCCTACTCTCTCTCTCTTTATATCTCCATACATTGTTTTTTTTACGACGATTGAAGTGTTCAAAAACGCATTTCATGTTTAAATGCCCCTAATTTGGGCCTATACATAAATTCAGCAATCGACTAAATTTTCAATAACAACCAAAAATATCCATTAGTATCGTCCCAATGATGCGTGGTTTACCACCAATTGTAGCACGAAAACTAAGTGCGACAGCAGTGGGCTTTCTTCTCTGTTTGCCTTGATCAAGCTTAATAACCTCTGATTGTCCTCAACATGTCGCTGTATGAAGGGCCAAAAACGCTGTATGAAGGGCCTATACGCATCTACGGAACAATAAAGAATCTCCTTCCAGCAACTTGATCAGACAATTTGTCAAAAAGACAAGCCCCCAAACAGGAAGATGCCCCAATTAGTGGGGAGAAGAGCCCGCCCTTTATCCACGAAATGTTATCAACAGGGAGTTGGCATTCCCACTCTCCCTGTCCAAATCGCTTCAATCGGGTTGTTGGCCTGTTCCTTCCCTTTTATATATATATATTTCAATGTATTTACGAGTTGATTGTTATGATTATTGTCAATAATACTTACATTTCGATGAAGATCGTGTGTTATTTACATGCAAACGAAAAGGAGATACAACCAGGTTTAGTTTTTTAAACTAATAGTTTCATCTGAATACTCAACTAACCATATCTCAGTGGCATTGTCTCACTCTGAACCTACATTTAAAGTTATTTTGTGATTATATGGTTACTTTGGTACTTACATGCAATGTTGCGCAAGTACCACAAGTTCAGCAACGCCCAACTATGGACAGCTCAATGTTAATACCATTTACTCTTTGAATTTGAATTATCATGTTGGTGGATAATCTTCTAAGACACACCAAAGAATGTATAGAGATAAAGCTCAAAACACAGTTTTAACTGATGGTACTTTATAAACATCAAACTGTCCAACATCAAACTGTCCTGACGAAACACGGTGCCTGCACGGTAACGTGGGCCATCAGAATGGTTCATCGGTTGCAAAGTGAAGTGCTTCTCAAACTGAAGCGATATATTTTTCAATTTTTCAACGTTATCCTAACGTAAATTTAATATTATCACCCATATGCCCGTCCACGCCCGAAACCCATCCACCACACAAAATTAGCTAAAAATGTTTCTGTATGACAAACACGTCCAGACCTAAACGAGCATATGGGTGTATATCTTCACTGTAACAACTACGGGTAATCATCGAAAGTACTTGCATTTTACTCAGGCACTTTTGAGCAAACTGCAATCACTCTCTCATACTCGAAATGTGCCACGACCAAATTGGCACAACGAGGCCCTATACGCTATCCGACAAAAGCGCAGGGAAAAATAGCAGATTTTAAGCGATGGGCCCAATCTTAGATCCATAGGCCAACATTAGAGCCATTTCCCACAACTGTATAAGTGCTGATCTCTACGCTCATCGTTTGATCTTTATACACCATCTCATCTGGTGGAGATCGATTGTGTAGTCATTTTAATTAACCATTTTGACAAGTACGAGGGTTGCTCGATAAGTTTTGAGATATGGCAACACTTATTTCAATACGTCAAATCTGACATCAGTATCGTATAGAGTTCTCCAGATACACAAAAGTGTGCGTGAGACCGCGCGCTACCCCTTTGGTTCTTCTTCTGCTTCATTTTTATATATGGATGTTGGATTTTAGTGTTCGTGGAGTGGAGATCTCTATAGTTGAGTGTTTTTAATGGTATACGTGCTCGGAACACTTTGTCAGCGAGTCTACTTGTATAGTGAGTTGCAAAATTTTGGTTGCAATTGTGGTCGTCGTGCGCTGCAGGACGAATTTCTTGAGGGACGTCCAAAATAAGCTGTTGTGCCAGAAAACAATGACCCGTAACCTGATTTCGAAAGATTGACATGTGACTTAACGTGATATCGGGGCATGCCTGGTCATTAGTTCCACTTCCCTACATTTAATACTGCATGAAAATTTGGCCACCAAAAAGATTTGTTCGCGTTGGATACTGCATAATTTGACAAATGATAAAAAAAGGCTCGTGTCGATTGGTCAACGGAAATGTCATAAGACGTCTATAAGATCGTGACAGCCGACGAATCATGGATCTATGCATATGAGCCTGAAACTAAACAACAGGCGACAAAAGTTGTTCGCGCACGAAGCTATTCGAAGCAAATGATCGCCTGTTTCTTCGGAAAAACCGGAAATATCGCCACCGTTCCATTAGAGCAACGTAGAACCGTCAACTCTGAATGGTACATAACCATTTGTTTGCCAGACATTTTCGGAAAAAAGAGAAAACCGCCAAAGAAGAATCATTTTCCATTACGACAATGCGAGCTCTCACACATCGCGTTAAATAAATGACTTTTTGAACGTTCAAAACATCGAATTGATGGGTCATCCGCCGTAATTTAGCTCCCAATGACTTCTTCTTATTCCCGCACGTCAAAAACAAATTGCGTGGTCAACGTTTTTCGACGCCTGAAGATGCGGTTGATGCGTTCAAAACGCATGTTTTGGAGATGCCTTCTTCGGAGTGGGAAAAGTGCTTCATCAATTGGTTCGATCGCATGCAACAGTGTATTGATCTTCATGGAGAACACTTTGAAAAGCAATAAAGCCATTTTTGATAGCAACCCTTTGTTTTTAATTGTTTATCTCAAAACTTATCGAGCACCCCTCGTATATGGACCTAAACTGAAATAAACGGTCGATAACCGAAAATAACGTCTGCAATGCAAATTCACCATTGCAGACGTTAACGCCCAAGCAGTGTTGAAAAAGTTCACCAAAAATTCACTATGGCTCGCTAACTTTTCCATTGGTGAACTTCGTGAAATATCGCGATTTTTTTCCAACGCTGCGCACAAGTAACAATTTTTGTTTTATGAGAGTTCTGTTGACCATAATTCACATTTGTAGAATGTTTTAAAACCTCGATAAAACTTGTAAGTTTTGGGCACTGACGTTATCATCGGTTACCGATTAACAACCTTGGTTGTAGCAATTCAATTTGTCGCCCTCTTTGTAGATTGGACGCATGATAGCTTCTATTCATATCTCCTCCTCCCAAATCTTGGTAATTACCCAGTACAGCTCTCTAGCCATTGATTAATCTCCGATTTTAAATAACTTGTTTGGTAGCAGCTCAAGGCAAGAACATTAGCGGTTTTCAACCGACTAGCTGAGCTTCTTAAAAAATCCTGAGTTATTCAGAATTTCTTTGGCATTATCTCTCGAATTGCTTTTAAATTCTCTTTAAAATTCCAGCGGAATTTTCCTCAGCTGTACCTATTTTTTTTATAATACCCTTGGGATGTTTCTCAGGATTTTATTGGAATTATCATCAGAATTCTGTAAGATTTCCTTGAAAATCTTCCTTAGAATTCTGCTCACAATTCCCATTAAAATCCCTTTGATCCTTAGGAAAAAAGTTTGGTTCATTAAAAATTTATACTGAAAATAATTGTTATAGCTCAGCTTCGCTCTCAACTGTTGTTAAAGAAAGATGGTAGCAGCAGTTGTGTCTCAGTGTTCACTCGGCTGTCGACAAAAGCAGGCCACTTTCGATGTGTGCCACGCGATCGTTTGTTTTCTCTGTAGCAACCATTGTGTGGTCCTCCTCATTGTTCTTCATCAGCAGTTCCTTCGGTCGATGCGTCGTCGACTTTGGAAAGCAACCGTTTCGTGATGAGTGTGTGAGTGTTGACCACGTTTTGCGTCCATTGCTGCCATGGAAGCGCTTTGCCCCACGATGGCGTAACTACCATACAAGTAAACCACTGGAAGCGGGTCCAGTTTTGATGGAGGAGGCTTTTTGGATAGCGGAAGATAAAGTGTTTATTGTGTTGTACCTTTGACTATAGTTTTAAGATGTATTGCATAGTGACCAAGAATCCTCGGCTCTGTAAAGTTTATTCGGTTGAGCCTTATCAAATAAATTAATGAACAAAAAAGCAGTTGTGTCTCCTAGTGTTCATTTCTTGTAGCTTGACGTAATTGCCCTTGGAAGTAGCGGCTTTGAAATAAAGTTTACGATCAAATTCAGGTTTGCCAATTAAGTTGTGAGACTTAGCATGACTGAACATTCCAAATTCGTGAAAGCACTGGATGTGAATCCCATTCAGATGGAAGCAACTTTCTAGATTGCTGAGGAGAATGTACTTTTCATGAACTTCATTTCCAGAAAAATCGACATGCATTGACGTATATCTCGGAAGATCTATTTGTTATAAATA